TAGACATACTCATACGACGCCGCAGTGATAGCTCTGTTCAGTTATCGGTGCATAGAAAAGAAACGTGGAATGGACAATATATCCATTTCCATAGTTTTGTCCCTCTTCAGAGGAAAAGAAACCTAATTAGCTCTCTGGTTCAAAGAGCGAAGAAAATATGCACGATAGACACTATTGACAATGAACTTCAGTTCCTACGCACTGTTTTTGCTCAGAATGGCTATCCCGAACGATTTATCGATAGGGCAATGCTAGAANTACAGAGGCAGAAGTCTTTCAGAGAAAGTTAACAAGTGCAGTAAGGAGAACATTTCACGCTGCACAACTCAAAGCTATACTCACATCTAAACCAATTTTGTGTTTCCGACTGAAGGATAGAGTGCCAGATTTTGCAGCCTCATTTTTGTGTATATTCATTCACCTGTTCCTGTGGGACTGGGTACATCGGCCGCACGACCGGGCGCTTATCCGATCGCGTTCGCGAACACCACCCGGCTTGGCTGAGGACTNTAGCCACGGCCGAAGCCGTAAGTATTCGGATTCACAACCCCCCCTTTTGCGCCCAGAAGAAATTTGTGCAAGCACTTGATCTCCCCTGGCCCACTTCAGCCACTTCAACACGTGTGCAATCACTTGAACCTTTGACACTGTGATCAATTTTCACACAAACACACGTACGCATGATTGGAGCCACAGCTGAATCATTAGGACTCGAATCTCTCATCCCTTGTTTCGTTTCTTATCTTTAGTCATATTTAATGTTATGTAATGGCATGATTACGAATAACTGAAAACGAGCTTGTTCGCCACGCTGTTGTTTGGGATCACAAGAGTGTTAATTTCTGTGGTACTTCGCCGTGTGACACCCTTTCATTGACTAGGTGGTTGCTGATGTTCGTCAGAACCTGTCACTAATGTCTGCTCATGTTATTTCTGGATATCCGCCCCGAGATGAAAGAGAAACAGCAATTGGGTTTACAGTAATGATATATTCTGAAACTTCCGAAATGTTGGAAGTGAGTTTGTCTAACCTAGGCTGGTATTTTAGCATCGGCAGCGGAAATCTGAAAGTAGATCTGATCAGTGCAAAGAAAGCGTGCAATACAGCGCTCACCGTGGGGAATTGTGCCGGTGTGGTCTTATCGAGCTCATTCAAAGCACGATAATAGTTAAAGCAAAACTTAATCCTGGAAATGTCCAATTTGCTATATCTAATAAAGAAACTTTCCCTGGAAGATCACTATCGCCAAATAATGGCGTTCTACGCTAAATCTGGCCGGTACACTTAATTAGGCCCGGTGGAGAAGGATCTCTGATCAACCAGGAAAAGCATAACGGTGGCCTAGCCTTTGTAATAATTCTATCTGATCGAGGGGTTAAGTTGCTATTGGATATCCGAACCTTGATGGTTCTGATAAGTATGTCATGGTTATGTAACTATGTCCTAATAGTTCTCAATTACACAGGGCTGTTTGGAAACTGAACCTGTCATGATGCTAGTCACCAGCGTAGGGTGAAGGTGATTCCGGTCCGTGATTTAATGATGACATCCAAATTGAATAGATCTACCAGGAAACTTAGAGGAAAGTAAGAAGCAACAAAAGAAAACTGCCGTAGCGAAACTGTCGGTTGAAGATCCGCTACACCCTGAAAGGAGATGAATATCCGCGAACAACAAGCAGGATTCCGACCAGGTCGCGGTTGTATCGACTAAATCCTCACTCTGCGTCAACTCCTCGAATTGCGTCACACATCGTCGGCCAACAATCGCACAGTTCCTTGACCCAAAAGGAGCCTTCGATTCAGTTGACTGTGAAGCTCTTATGGGATCGCGGCTTCACATAGGAATACCGCGGAATTATGTAAGCCTATTGCGGTCACCGTACCTGCATATTTCTTTTGGGGTAAGGGTCTAAGATGGGTTAAACAAACCGTTCGAAACCAGGAGGGGCTTTCGTCAAGGGTGCCCTATTTCGCCATTCCTGTTAAATTTCTTCCTAGACGAAATACTGGAGAACGCAATTAGTGGTCTCCAAAATGTGTATTGAATGAGCAGCTGGAGAAAAGCTGTGCAATTTAGAGTACGCTGACGACATCGTTTCCTGTTCAAATGTATGGAAGATGAGTGAATCGCTCTTGACAGACTTCTTTCGATATGTGTACTTTCAAAGTTCAAAGTGATGCTGCAAGATTGGATGTCGTCTACCCCGGTGCTGGTGCTTGATGAGCAAGAATTAGCTACAGTAGAATGTTTCTCCTACTTACGTTGCTGCGTGACAAAGGAAGGTAGCCTAGCCTCCGAAAGCCTTTGTATGGTCGGGGGTGAGTGTCCAGGGTTGCGGCTGGTCATCTTTCCGTTTCATCTTGCACAATGCTCCTATGTGAACAAACGTCTCAAATAGCCTCTGCTGAGGAAGCCCTACCCACTACCTTCTCGTGGCCGAGGTGTTTTCCAAGCAAAGTGAGAGGACGAAAAGCCGACATCTTGGGCTATAACCGGGTTGGTGGGCCACAGATAGTTCACCTCGGGCAGTTGGCTAAAAACTGATTCCAGACCAACCAAGAGGAGGCGTACGAATCACGCACCTTCCCGGTTGTGGCAGTTGTGGTCGCCGGCTCAGATGGGCATCGAGATGTATTGGGCACCTTGGACGTTTGGTCCCGTCCGAAGGGCGTATGATCCGATGAACTGAACACCGGCTCCCAATGGATTGCGGTTTTCACATACCGCCCCGCTGCCTTGCGGGTCCGACTCTGACTAGCCAAAGGCTCTGGCTATGGATTCCTCAAGAAAATTCACCTTCCTTGGCCTTGACAACCTGGTAGTATCCGGTTCACTTTCAAATCGTGGAAGGTTTTTCTTTTTATAAAAATTATTGTATCATGATTTGTTTGGTACACAGTCTGGCATCAGATGGAGAGTGGTGTTCGTCAGGGCTACCCTCTCCGTTTCCTTTTAACCTCGTCGTAGAGTTAATCCTTAAAATAACTCTATCTTCATGCATGGAGAGTGGCGTCGATTTGCTCCCAGCTGTTTGATTTGGAGTATGCAAATTACATTGTGATACTAAGTGGACATCCAGATTAGTTGCAAGCTTTCCTTGATTGTTTGATTGTTAGTTTATCTGTGTTTGTTATACGTATTGCACCTTCAAAATGTAAAATGTTGCTACACGATTAGGTTGGTATAGCCCCCAATCTTACCCAGACTAAGGAAGTAGTAAAGGAGGTAGACGAATTTTGCTATCTGGACAGCTATATCTCACCTAGCGGACGCGTCACAGATAAAGTGTCGGCACGCGTACAGAAGGCTCAGTTGGCATTTGCCGACTTGAGACATCTGTGGCGCCGACTCGACATCCGGCTGGTTGTGAAGGGTTGAGCATATGCTGCAGCAGTTCGGTCAGTGCTGCTATACGATGCAGATACGTGGCCACTACGGGAACAGCATAAAAATGGATTTTCGATGTTCAAACATCGCTGTCTACGCCTCATTGCTCAAGTCTGGTGGACAAATCGGACAAGTACTGCTGAAGTTAGGTGTAGAGTTTTTGGTAATCACGGTCGTCCACCGGAGCTAGTGGTCAACCTCCATAGACTACGATGGTTGGAACATTGTTGCGCATGTCACCAAATAGGTTGCCATGGCGCACGATGTTTGCCGAGGTAATAGGCGGATAGCAAAGGGTCAAGGGCTGTCCAACTACTACCTGGCATGAGTGTATGAGAACTAACCTTTAAACCAGGTCACATGGGTCCCGTTAGTCTTCCCGGATGGTAACCCCAAGATTATGTTAACCAGTTTTTATAGACGCTGACTGCCCAAAAAATGGCACTCGTGCATCTACTCAATATTCTTGCAACCCTATTCTATATGAATTCCCTGTCTTCAACTTGAATTTGCTCTCAACATGCCCATCTTCAATCTGCTCTTTAATCCGAATGGGCAGCCAAATACAGGAACCGAAACCGGCGTACGAAAGTGCATGATTAATGGTTGTAAAAACTGAAAACTGCACTGAAACCCCATAATCACCCTTGCCCTTTGGAGTCTTCACGGCCATCTCATTTACATCCGATGGATACCACGTTATAACCGGATGCAGTATCGATGCCTTCTGCTGGTTTCGAATTATTGTGTTCTGCATGATGTGTTGTATGAGCGCGTGCTCATACATCCACGTTAGGAAGGTTTCTTCCATTTTCCCATTGGGAACCTCTCCTACCCAAGAGATCCCCGGAAGAATTAATAACCTTTGAGTTCTTGATGGGATTTCTTTCATTGTAGCAAGTAGTGCCGTTCTTTCTTATTTTCAAGCGGTTGACAACTTGCACTCACTTTAAGCGTGACACCTAATTGGTTCTGTTAGTGCATTTTGTTTTTTCCTCTTTTGCAGATTTTCATATAATTATATCCCCGAGGATATCCTACACGTCGACGGTTCCATCCCAGATACAGTCTCGGCTCACGTTCGACTTTCTTGCGCATCCATTCACCGGGGGGGGAGGGGGACGGATACCCAACTGCTTATTCGAGCTCAGAAATAAAACATTATTCACAGAGCTTAATGGATCAGCCAATCCGATATTCGGAAGCTGAAGCTGTTAGGCGACTACAAGAACTAGATAATTCTCAAACATCCGTTGAAAGCACGTCTAAATGGTTCTTGGGCGTCAAAGATATGGCCAAAGAGGTCGTGAAGTTATGGTTCAAAGAGTTTCGCAAAGGTGTGCTTACCTTCGGTCTTGCTTTATTATTATTATTTTTATTATAGCCCATCCTAAAAAGAAGATCGCGTTTCTCCATTTAGTTAACGATGTTATCCAAAATGGCATTGTTATCGCCCCGCAGTATAGCAAACTGTTTGAGCCGGTACTTCCGACTGCATTCAAAGAAACCGCAAAGTAAGTTTGTGAATCTTTCGGTTTGGTTTTTTAAGTACGGATTCTCGACTGGATAACTGTTGATCATGCTTGTTTTCATTTTTTTTAAAATGTAAACTGTTTCAAAGCAGTGATTGTATTTGATCTCTCCCTCTCTGTGGGCATAGATTTTTTATTACACACTTTTTAGTGTGATGAACAGCAGACGGGGCGAACCCTATATGCATGAGGACCTGCTGTTCAGTAATGGAAGTCGGTAACCTGATCCACGGGACTTGGAGTGGCAAACCACACAAGGGTCCGCTAGGTTAGTCGTCGTATTGAAAGTTAGGCTTCTCGGCTCTCTAAACAAAGATCATGTTCTATCGCATCATTCACTGTCTCGTGTTTCATCCGACACAACAAAACGGGTAAATTAAATGTTCATAAAAATCACTGTATAACAATGATGGGGGGGGGGGTGGCTTTCATTTGAAGCGGAAGTTCTTGCTTTTGCATTTGAATTTTGAAACGGTATTATTAAGGTAAGGGTATTTCTTATTAATAATGATAGATAAGAGGCNGCAGCTGTCATCGGCCTGCTTTAGCTCTATCGCCCGAGGTTCTCGCTCTGGTTCGAGGAACGAACCAGAAAGAGGACGACTGATATTACGAAACCTCATCGACTTGTGTATTGGTATGATCTATAGATCAGTGAGAGAAGCGTACAGGTGAGTGAGCGTGCAGAAGGTGAAAGTCAACGAGTTGTGACCAACTGGGTGATCTTGGT